CTTATAACAGCGATAAAATGAACTACACATTCTGCATTATTTATGGACATTTTGACATAATTTTGTTTGTTAACTTGGCATATAAACGCAAATTCCTTTGATCCCTGTGTATCTATCGCTTCTGCTCCGAGTAGTTCGCAGTGCTGCGTCTATCTACGACAGCGAAACATTCAGTACGAACTTATCGAGGCTCGCCACCCACCAGGAGGCAGCCGATGGGACGACATTCGTGAGGTGGCAAACCCAAACACGGGAATCTTTGCACCCGTCAGTCTGGCCCTCCGGCATGGCTGGATTCGCCTTTGCGAGGGTCAAAATCTCTACGTGAACACGACTACTGGTACAGCGATCCCATTGGAGACGGCATTGTCCCAAGGCCGTATTCGCCTTGGATGGCCCAGTGCCACGCCGTCTGATCCTGCGGCGTCTGGTACGCCACAACTTCTGCTCGCAGAGCGTGTCTTTCACGGTTGGCGGCGAGCCTTAATAGGCTACATGCTGGACACTCAAACGGGCGATCTGGTCAGCTCCACAGTAGCGTTTGCTCGTGGTCTTCTTGACATCTCTGGCCGGTATATCCGGGTCCTGGACACACAGACGGGTACTTGGATTTCCCTAGAAGAGGCGGTTGGCAAGCAGATATTATCCGTGGAGCCCTGCCCCAGACAACTAATAGGCCTGGCATCATCAGCTCGGGGCGGCGAATCCGACGACGGCTCTGAAGATTCTCTCGAGGGCCGAGTGGAAGAGGCGGAATCCTGTCGTGTTTTCCGCATTTCTCACATTCGGCCGGGTGGTGAGTCTGGAGACTGGCTGGAACCTCTTCAGGCTCAACAGCTTGGCCTCTTCCAGTGGCAAACAGGTGACGTTGCAGCTGATCTGTTAGCTCGCCCATTCAACCTGACCAATCAGCAACGAGCCACCGGAATTCCGCCCAACTCGAAAAAGTTGGGGCCCGAATCTTTTGTGCCCATTAGCTGGATCAGTCTGCTCAGTGCTCGCCAGTCCGGCTGGATTCGCCTCAGGGAAGAGTCCGAGCCCTACCGTTGGCTACCAACAAGCTCCCGGAACCCTGAGCCTTTCCAAGCTACTGAAGTCCATACTGCCTCATCACAGCGTCTTGCGATTCTTGCCAATGAGGTCAGCCTTGTCGCTCCAACTAGTACAGCCACTCTGTCCGGGCCTCTACCTCCTGGCGCCGGTCAACAGTATCACATAAGCCAAACTCAGCATCCACTTAATCCGCCAGGCTCCCCTAAAAGAACCAACAGTTCTCCAGAGTTTTGTAGATTGACCGGTCAGTCTGTGGGGATCCGAGCTCGTGATCCTTTTTCAATTCACTTCCCTCCCCCTCAGATCTCACCAGTACAGCATCAAATCCCAGGACCTATCTCCCCTGTCGGCCATCTGAGTGGAAATCTCTCAAGTCTTTCAGCCCGCCGTGCTCAGGCAGCACATTCTTCATACCAGCCGATGGTTAGAGACCCCAGTCAGGAGTTA